TTAGAACGAGGAGGTATAATAATGTTATCTCTTTTTAGCTCTTCACCGATGGTAAACACGAAGCGAGTGCTGCAGCCTTTGTAGTAGTTTCGGATGCGTTCGGGTGTATAGCAAAATTAATGAAACTCAATCTCCGAGCTGCGATATCACAGCTCACAATATCAATTGCAGTTGTTTTCTTGTTCATTTTTGTTTACGAAAATCAAGCATGATTTTGATCTTTGGTGAAATTTTATTTTTTGATATTTACTGGTTTTAAATGTCTCAAAAGTTTTCATTTTTCATGAGTTTTTTTTAATATGAAAATTGAAGATATACTTTTTGCAATATTACTTTTTTCTCAAAATAATTTTCAAACAAAATGTTCCAAAATTTGTCCCAAAGCTGTTATTCAAAAACTTTTCTTAATTTGTAAGTGTCCAGCATGAAATTTTCGCGTAACATAAGCTTTTTAATGATAAGTATTTAAACAAGATTCAAGTATTTAATTGTTTTTATTAAAATTTTAAATATCTTTTGGATTTTTACCCCAAAGTTTCTTGATTTTTTTTTACAGTGTTTATTTGTTGATGCCTTTGCTTTGTTGAAAAATCTTGAATACACCGTTTCTCGACTAACATTTGAAATGGACCTATGTCCAAAACGTAAACAAATCGGGTTTGATACCATTCTTTAGCACCGCTTGATAGCTACTAATCGTGTAGGAAAGTTCCGCTTAGTCGAGAAAAATCATTAAAAATAACTCGATTTTCGAAACGGTCGATGAACGAAATTTTTCGATGCATTAATAGGCACGCTAAAACGGACAACCATTCATTTATTTCATTTCATTGATAAAGCCTAGTGACGTAGAAGGGCCGATGATTGAAAATTTTCAAACCAAAGCTAGGCCCTACTGCTTGAGGCAGGGCCGATGATTTGTTTTGAATTTATTTGACGTTGCGAAACGGCTTAGCAAAGGGCGTACCATTTCGGATGACAAGCACAACGGCTTAACAAAAAGGGCCTATCCATTGAAAGATTCACACAAAGGCTTATTAATTTATGAATTTAAATTGTTATCGATTTTCATATATTTTTGAAAGCTTTTCGCATATTTTGGATGTTGTTTACTGAGATACAGTTACTATTGTTATTGTGAACTACACGCAAACCAAAAATCTATTACAATGAATGTTAGTTCCGTTTCCTATCATCCTCTGTTCATGAACATCGCAGCGAATGTTAGAAGTTGACCTTACAGGCGATGTAATGGTTTTTTGTCTTTTTCATTTCGTGTTCTATCTACGCTTTCGACTATACCAGTAAGCTTGTAGAACGACGCACATTGTAGAACATTGTAGAACGACGCACACACTTGCCTCGAATCCCTCCAGCAAAAAAAGCATACGAAGTCGAGTATGCGAGAAAATGAGCGCTTCATGTTTGCTTTTAGGCAATCCATATTCAGGAGCATGGAGAGAGCAGTGGAGAAAGCACAGGTCTGATAATCGAAGCGTTCTTGGTTCGAGTCCAGTCGGCAATCGGATTCCTATTTTTTTTTCGACATAACTAACACTCTACATTTTTCGGTCTCCAATTTTCTTGCATTGGACCGCTGCTAGGTATATCGCATCCTCGGTTCATGCGGTCTCCACTAACATCCTCTGATGATGAATCCCACATAATTGTAAGTGAATCTTACATCCCTCGGTTGGGTGTATATAAATGCCTAACATACTTCAATTTTCGTAAATATGAATTGAATAGAGGCGGAAAATTCTAAAATTAATTTTCTGGTTTGTTTACGTTTTGGACATAGGCCCATTTCAAATGTTACTCTAGATTTGTCAGTTTTTTTTTTCGAGATTCAAAATGGCCGAATTTTAGCAAAAATGTGAATGCAAACAACGGGAACAATTATGCAAAGTTTCATGCAAATCGGAGAAGGTCGAGTCTTAAATTATTATTTTTTTTTACTATTTAGCCTGGAAATACTCAATTGTGGAGGTGTACAACAATCTTCAAGAAAATCGCAAATTGAATTATCAGTCTGAAGGAGTTTGATTAGGTTCAATTTTAAAAGAAATTTTCATCAAATTCTGTATCAATTACATTGTAAGATTTTTGAAATTCTTGAGCTGTCCCTAAGATCTTGGGACAAGTTGATAGGCCTTGAACAAAAACTGAAGAACATCCTGGCATGTGTAGGATATCTTCAAAAGACCTCAGACGTAAACCCAATCAACCGATAATGCTAGTCAAAAGAACTAGAGGACACTTCCAGAGAGATGTGAAATCAAAGCTGTATGATTTCAGAGCTCCTAAATAGATGACTTTCAGCGTAATCTTTGAGGATTTCTAGGACAAATAAATGAGATTTAGATATCAATTCCAGAGGAATCTGGAACTGAAGCTATTGATCATGCAAAAATCTGTTAGAAAGCAAGTCTAGATAATCGGAATTGCTCCATTAGTATTGTTTCCATTCCTCAGAAATCCTTTGAAATACTCCTCTCAAGAACTCTTGTTCATCATGAAGTCCTACAAGCTAGATTTACATCGAACATCCATGTAGACGTCATTCAATTGTACTGATTAGACCTTTCCTCTAACTCCTCGGAACTCTTCGAATCCAGTTCCAAAAAGTTAACCGGACTTACCTTTAAAGCGTTTTTGGTTTGACCCTGCATATCTCCAAGATTGCCTAGCGTCTTCAGACATTTCAAGAATCCGGATAGATAAAAACAAAACTCCTCAATCCAGGATTTTGAAAAAAAAATCCTAGACTAACACCTACATTTCAAACGTGTAAAAATTCTTAGGATTTTGAATTTCTGGAATTTTTATGATTTTAGAACTTGGAAGAAACATAAGCGTGATCTCAGACTTGCGTGAAACTTTGCATAATTGTTTGTTCACATTTTAGCTAATATTCGGCCATTCTGGATCTTGAGTTTTTTTTTTTCAAAATGACATCCTTGATTTTTTTTAATTCAAAGTAAAAAAAAAAATAAAATATGTTAAATGTCCTTGATCGATTTTTGAAAAAAAATAGGAAAAAAGCTCAGGAATGCCTAAAAATATAGACACTTAAAATTTACAAATAGACAAGAACTTTTGGTCAACATTTTTAACTTTTTTTTAAAACATTTAATCTAAACCTCTTATTCTAGCACTTAACACATTTTTGGTCAACATAAAGTCAAATTCGTTACTAACATCATTCAAGGAACGAAAACAAGGATTGAGGGGGTTAGAAGGAAAGGGGTGTAAGTGACTTTGATCGATTCTCTTCATCGACTTTCTCTTTCGTTAATAATTCAGCTGCAAACACATTCCTTGATTGGTGTGCCATTCTGGATGCTAGATGACAACCTCCTTTGTGGCAGAAATAGCGCAAAATCTGTTTATAAAGCTGTGGCTATCAAAAGAGAAAGTCGATGAAGAGAATCGATCAAAGTCACTTGCACCCCTTTCCTTCTAACCTCCTCAATCAAAACAATTCGACAGTGAGAATGCATAAGGGCGTATACGCGATGATCGATTCTCTTCATCGATTTTCTCTTTTCATTGCTACAGCTAAGCGAAACAATTTTCTAGAATTTGTGCAATGCAGAGTTGTAACAGGTTGTATTGGCTATCAAAAGCAACAGCAAACGCACCGAGAAACGTTAAATCTAACGTGCTATTAACAAAAGAGAAAATCGACGAAGAGAATCGATCATCGCGTATACGCCCTTATGCATGCTCACTGTCAAATTATTGAATCCAAAGTTCAATCTGTTAAATGGATATGCTAGTAACGGAGAATTACGGAATCGCCGAGGAGGAGTATGCCACGGAATCAGTTCCAGAAGTTCGGGACAGTCCACGTTGCCGTTTATGAGGTCGAAAATAAAAAGTCGTTGCAATTTGAGGCGCCTGGCAGAGGGGGATTCCAAATCAATCAGCTTGCATCGGTCGGGATAACTAGGAAGATTGACTGGATCATTCCAGGGGAGCTGACGGAAAGCAAACCTTACAAAACTTTTCTGAATCCATTCAATCGCAACAGCGTAACAGCGAAGAGCACTCAAAAGCTGCTGGTTCATGTGATGTAATTCGTGCCTAGTGACCTCATAATTGGATTTCGAATGCTTACCTCGATTGTCAATTTCAACTCAAATTTGAGAACGTAATTGGAGGATGATCGGTCAAACACTGCGAAATGGTGCAAATGGAATGCAAGCAAGTACTCGATTGAAATTCAGTAGAACCTCGCAGCAGAGGCAGACCTAGGGGCTCTTGGTGTCGGTGCTTAACAAAGAAAAAAATCAAGGCGAAAGCAAAAAATCCTTCAGGAAGAAAATCTTTCACGTTGGCCTTACACGGAAAATAAATCTGACTCATATTTGAATCCCATTCACTCAATTTAGCAAAACGTAAGTAACTCATAGAATTAGTATATTTTTAGTTGAGTAACATTTACTCATATTTGAGTAAAAATTTACTCATTCTATGAGTGACTTACGTTTTTGCGGATTTGTGAACGGCTCTCAAATATGAGTTCTAAGGATGCTCAGGATAGACAGCGAGCTAAGTATCTCACTAAAATGAACAGAAACTCAACTCAACCTTCCGACCGGTTTGCTTGGGTCCAAGTCCCAACTAACTGCGTGATAATGTACTTACCCAGTAAATACACACCGTAAGCACTCTCACCAACAACCAAAGCTCAGTGATGAATGGAGAAAAGGAAAAAAAATAAAAATAAAAAAGAAGCAAAACAACTTACTCACCCGTCTTATAATAATGTACTACACCCCACTCACCTTGATACGTGTAGGCTGCTAAAGGCAATATGCAATACATTCTCGTGCGGTGGCGTCGGCTCGGAAAAGTGCTAAGCGCATGTGCGCACTCAACAAAGATTAACCAAATTACCTTTAATACGGTCTCTCAACTATACAGAAGAAGAGTTGTTCGTCCGCACTGCGAAACTCCCCGAGCTCAGTCAGTCAGTTCGCCGTCGTCGTGGCCGTCGTTGCTGCGTCGTAGTTCCTCTCTATCGCGGTGACGTGCTCGTTCATTTGAGCACCCGGGTTCAAAAATAAATAGTCATTTGCTAGGGACCATTGCGGTGGGACTCGCGGTGATTCAGATTCGTTCGTGTTGTTCTATTCCGGGGTTACGAGCAAAAGTGCAAAAGTTGTACCTTCTGTCAGGATTTCAGCCAGATTCCGACCTGTTTGGGGTTCGCCAAGGGCATTGAAGTGAGTGTCGTTGAGCTAAGTAGTCGCGGTTGTTGTTGGTCATCCGCAAGCGGTTTAGAAAGGTGGCGTTGTCATTTCACTAACCCTAAAACCTGTTTGCGAAGCGAAATCTGTGGCTGGTGAATGTGCTGTGGAAGGAATTGATGGGATTTGATGCGTGTTGATCGCACGTGCATGAATGTGGTCGTTTACGGTTGTGGTGGAAAGTGGTTCGGATTCGATTGGCAAGTGTCACTCCATTTGAATGCAATAAAGCGATTGAAAGTCAGTGCTACCGTTGCCCCCAGTAGTTGGAAAAGTGTGGCAATTCAAGGTCTGGTAGCGACTTTGGTTCAGTAATTACCACATCGAATGAAAGCTAGATAACAACAGAATCAGAGGCTAGGTAGCAACTGTGAGCAAGAGTGCCGGGCTTATCAGCTGCGGTAGAGACTTCAATTTTTGGAGCGGGACTTGCACCTTGATTGGAGAGCCATTTCTGTCGACCAAATAGCGATCCCTTGTACACCAGTGCTGGCAGAGAGGATAAACCAGAAAATATTATCGTTTTTGCAGTTTATTAATATCCTACCAGAAGAAGAAAAAAACAACACTTGTAAACGTAAAGCTCTACAGTACAAGATTACTGCGAATTTATGTGTATAATTGAGTGCGAACTGACGTCGTGAGTGAGCTAGTGAGTATAGATACGTGGTTTTTGCTACTGTGTGGCTGGTTTCCGAACACGTTGGCGTGAGTTGGCGCAAAACTGAGGTGTTCGGTGTTCAGTTTGACGCGAATAGAGCCGATCAATGATGATGCATTGCATTTTTTTTTGGGTTGATTGATTTTAATGAGGTGATGTATTGTACAATGGACAGGCCATGGGTGTTATCTTGAACCTTCATTGAGTAATTTGCATCAATCAATTCGGTGGCGTCCTTTGCTCCGAAATCAAACGCACTGTACAACGAAATTGCATCTACCGTTGCATGACCTTGGTGCGTTTTTATGAGAAAAACGCGATCCGCTTCGATAATTTCACATCACATCTAAAGCTAAGGAGGGGAGAGGTCAATATATTGTACCGGTATGGTTTCATCTCTCGGAATCGGCTGAATATTCATCTATCTCTATGTATATAAAGATATCCATATCGCGAAGGAGAAGGCGGTGGCAGCGGTTTCGTTTTCAAGATCATCATTCTCCCGTCTCGTCGCTACTATGATTAAACGTGTGCACCGGGGGGAGCTGGTGACCGTGTAAATGTCTTACTATACGCTCTGATAATCCGTCTTTCGTCCGGCTGTTTATTCGATATCTTTTCATAAATGGGTTTATAAGTATACGTGCGTCTGCTCAGGGTGATAATGCGTGCTAAAGTATACGTATTGTTTACAGCCATAAAATGATTGGTACGGTGGGTAATAATACCAAGGATTATAGGTACAAATATGGGCATAAGTTTTTTGTTTTACGGTGAATTGAAATTAGCAGTCTCATCCAATCATGTTTGTATGGGGTGAATTCGAAGATTCTTAAAACACATATTTTGTTGATGGTAGTAAAGATACAAGTTAATCAGTTAGCAAGGCACTTTTTAGTAACTTGGTCTTTTTTTGAAAGCCGGTCACTTAAAAGACACTTTTTCCAACTAAAGTCACTTTTTTTCGTTCCCAAACTTTGTTTGTATTGTCCTTAATCAAGTCTAGTATAAATATGTTTAGTATCACACTCGTCACTGATTATTTTGGTTATTAAAAAAAAACACGAGATGATATACTTTTGTCGGGTGCTGCACATTATTTCAGTCAACTTGATGATCAATACTTATTTTGACAGAAGTGTGCTACTTTGGTGGTCACCTTCATTACTGTTATTATAACAGTCATCTGTACAACTCGCAGTTGTCAAGTTTAACAAAAAAACAATTCTATAGGAAATCATTGGAAGGGACCACTGCAGTAGGCATGAAAATCAACTTTTACTATATGGTTATATATGTAGATATCGAGTTGTAGAGGTTACTGTATTCTCTCCCTCGAAGTGTAATTTGTATTCGACAAGCTGAGATGAACACAGGCCATTTAAAGTAACTATTTGTTGTATATAATATGAGATTAGTTCTCATAGCGATCAGTGATTCAATTGATGTTCACATGATCTACACACTAATAAATTTAGTAATATTATACACGAAACGAAAATCAATTATTTTATCCATGTGGTTCACTTATACATTTTTGCCAAAACATCAGCCTTATACATTCCATAAGACAAACCACATAGGTCATATAAGAATGCATAAAAGAAGTGTGTGACCGTTTATACATTTCATTTGACACATGATCTTCATTAACTTTTTGCAAGGCGTCTGCTTATTAGTTGACTTATACATTTTATGAATAATCAGCAATAGAAATTTGCCAAAAGTTATAAGGAGATTTCTATCCGTGTATCATAGCGGAATTTATATTTAAGGGACCTGCCCTTTAAATTCCCCAATGACTTATTAAAAGCACTACATTTTCATTGTTCTCGTCGTTCAATAGGTCAGAACATTGAAATAGTGCATCAACATATACATTTTAAGGGCTTCTAGGTTACATTCAGAGATATTCTAGACGAAGCAGGAAAGCATTATTTTAGAGTAAGGATACATTTAGGGAAAGTTCAAAGGTCTTCTATGGAACGATCTGAAGACTTCCTACTTCCAGTTAAAGCTTGGAGAACATTTGAAAGAAGTCTAAATTACGGGGTTTTAAATTGTGCTCCGTGCTGCTAAGGAACTTGAAATTGGTAAGGTAAAATAAAAATTTCGACCAATAACAGATTCATGATGACGAAATAATATGAAAAACAGTGCCTTCTCGTTTTGGCAACAAGGGTTTATGTTGCCAAAATCGGGATTTTCTTCTTTTGTTTTTTCCTCAATATGGTGATAATAATCGTCATGAACAGTGTTGGGAAAATATCAAAAAATCAAATCTCACCAACGCCCAAGATCTTGCTTGATTTTCGTAGACAAAAATCAACAAGCAAACAACTGCGGTTGATTTTGCAAGCTGTGATATCGTAGCTCGGAATATCAAGCTAACAAAACTCACCAGCTGTAAATCTCAAACTGTGGTGAGATTGAGTTTCATGATTTTTGCTTTATACCCGAATGCAACCGAAACTTCCATATCGGCTGGCAGCAGTCACTTCGTGTCTACCATCGGTGAAGAGCAAAAGAGATAGCAAACCTTACTTTCTCTTTCTAAGAAAACGATGTGCAATGGAATCATTTTTGTGTCGAGTCAACTCTCAGCTTGATTTTTGCACGTTGTGAATAGTCTCGCAATATCAAAGGAGCTTGTAAAATCAATATCAAGCATGATGTTTTGTTCCAATATCACGCATGATATTGCGAGTGCATGAGAGCGGAAAAATATCAATTGATTGCTGATTTTGCCAACAGTGGTCATGAAAATATATTTAGGGACCTTTCAATAATTTCGTAAGCATATTGAAGGCGTTTCAACCCCTCCTATCCTTGTATGATTTTCTTCATATAAAATTGACTTGTTTTATATGGAGCGTAAGAAAATACCAAACATTCCCTTCCCCCTAAGTTCTTACGTAACTATTGAATGGCCATTGGTTTTGGAGTGCAAAAGAAAGATGGATCGTGGGGAAGGCGAATGAAAATACTGGTCAACTGCAGTGAACTGGTTACGTGATTAGATTGTTGACGACGCCTCAGAAAGTTCTCGAGCTAGATGGATTGACCAGCAAGAATACGATCTGCTATGTATCCGCAAATAACCTGATTGGCGATATGCAGCCATGGATCGAGTGCAACAGCTGGTCCCCATCGATGATGCCCATCTTTTTCCAAGATTGCCAAATAACTTTCTCTTCTACACCTTCCCATCGCAGCTTGACATTCTGGATCACATTCTGATCCATCGGCTTAATCATTGCGGTGACATTAGGCGGTAAGAAAAATTGTGTTATCAGTCCATCATCTCTTTCCATTTTATTATTCAAATGATGGGTGGAACAGTTATTACGCACTCCTGGAACATTTTGTTTGAAAAACCATTCCTTGAACAAGATTCTCGTCATCCATGCGTTCTTTGAAGACATGATGAAACAGTAACACGTACATTCTTCAATGCTCGCGGGTTACGGGATTTTCCAATCACCACCATGGATAGCTTATGAGTTCCTGATACGTTGCAGCATGGCATAAATGTGATTTGAAGCTTGGAAACCTGCGTTTTTCTCGCTGTACGTTACCAAAGTCTCTGCAGGTAACATTCAGAAAAAAAGACCGGATTCGTCAGCATTATAGATCATTTCTACAGTCAATTCCCGCAAAGAAACCGCTCACTCAATGCTGTCAGTGTCGCAAGACAACACCTCACCGCAGATCTTAAGCTAAAGAACACAGAAAAGCAGATGCGATTCCTACTGTCAACAAAGACCCAGCGACAATTATTCTAAGCGAACTGAAGGATCTTTCGCTTTATTCGTCTGAAAGATCACATTTATGCCAACTTCATCATCAACGTTCCCGAATACTTTATGTTTTCTGGGGAAAGCGACGATGCAATTTCTGGAAGTGATCCTTGAAATGAAGAGACTAACAGTTTGGACCGTATGTCGCACAGCACTGTATCGCAAGAACCACAAGTGCTACCTGACTGGTTGTAACAGCAGCCGTCTGGCTGCTTTTGACGTTCCATTTTCTCTTTTCGTGACTCTCCCTCAGATCCCAAACAGTCCTCTGTTGCTCAGTTCTGAAGGTGGTCAGGCGAGGCTCCACAAGCACCCCAATTTGCTGCGCTTATGCATAGAATAGATCATTCTACGTTCACGTTATCGAGGGGCCTGTCAGTGGGATTTTATTAAAGAGTCTTTATCTCAGCGGAAGTAGTTTAAAATAAGTTGCTCCAGTATAAACAGCGGGGGCTGTGCGGAGCATTGAACCGACATAATGTTACAATAATATATTCTGATTTGCTGTAGATTATAAAACACAGTAAACGTCTTCAATTTCACTCACTTTTTAGTGTAATTGCAGGGCTGTTACAAC